CGGTGAAGGTTCAAATGCAAAAGTGTGAAAAATGTTCCCAGGAATTCTGTTCACCTGTTAACTATCGAAGGCACACGCGCTTGCACCGCCGATCATTGAATTTTGATAAGGTCTTATTTGTTTGTCCTTTATTATTTTACTATGATAATGTTAGTACATTGTGATTCATTTATAGGAGTAATGAATGTTTTGTTACTTTTATACAGTGTTTAATCTTTAAGTTAGGATTTTACATTAATATCCTCATTGTAGTGTTATTGTTTATTCGATTATTTATAAAAGTATAACCTCTGCAGTATTGTTCATTTATATTCTTTCAGTAATATTGTTCAACTATGCTCTTTCAGTTTTGAGCAGCATGTATATGATAGACTCATAGTATTAAGTTAGTCGTTCTGTTTTACCAAGACAATTTTTTATCTTACTCCAAATCTAGTGGGAAGCTATGGACATGCTGTGTCATTTCTACTTAAACGTCGTTGCAAACCGCATTTGATTTTTACTTGCCAAAATATGTATCTGTGTGTAAAAATATGAATCTTACAATATGATCATATGATCCAGGAATCTCGTAGGTATAGAGATTTACTGGGAGCATACTGGGACAAGGTAATTCTTACTATTTTTGTAAATTGGGCATGTTTCGTGCATGCCTTATAGTTTTGAAATGTTTATTGATGTTTTTTATTCATCCAGCTTTCATTAGATGAGGTTAAAGAAGTTGCATTATTGGATGATGTCTCACTAAAGGTAAAGAGAATGCTCTTAGACCATATACTATTCATCGCTCCTCCCCGTGCTTCCTTTTCACACATCTAAAGAGAAAATTGACTCGAAAACATTGCATGTTCTCAGGATATTCTTGGTACTGATACACTTATCACAACAGTGTATAACTCTCTCCGCAGATCAGACATTTGGACTCTTCCAGCAGCTTATGCAAAAGCGGGTTCTACATTATTGGTAAGATTGTTGCCTGATGGTGTTTTCTTTCTTGCTTTCATGTTTGCCACTATTCTTCATTCCTATTTATATTTGGCATTTTTTTCCAGGAAATAGTCCAAGCAAAACCTTCCAGTCTTCCGATCTCATCTCAAGATCTATTTAGCATTCTTGATGAGGCTAGTGAGAGAACGTTTCTATGTGCTGGCACAGCTGAATCAATGCAAAAGTACATCTTTGATGCGGAGACTGTAAAAGGCTCCAAAGAATTGAAGACTTTAATTGCATGCACTTGCTTTCTGTTCGAGCAGAAGCTGGTATGCTCTACATTGCTACATACCCTTTTGTTGCCATTTTCACGACAACTCAATTTATCACTTCTTCCTGCACTTATGCTGTCATCTTTCCTTTTTATATTAGGTGAAAGCATGGCTTGCTGAGAAAGAAGCTGAGGCACTTAGATGCCAAAAGCTGCTGGTGGAGGAAGAGGATGCTGCTCAGAGAAGGTGTGCTTTGTGTTTGCAAGTTTATTTTTTAGGACTGCTTGTCTTAAGGTTTCTAGATTCCAGATAACGCAGAAAATTGAAAATAAATTCTAAGGAAAGCTATTTCCATATTTGGTTTTTATCATGTAAAATATAAAGAAAAATGAAATATGAGTAATGTTATAGTTTTTTTAAACTTTGTTTAAATTTCTTAGTCTATATATAATAGAAATAAATAAATAAATAAGTTTAAAAAGTATCCAAATTAATTTATTGAGTTTGAACTTATCTTATTCTCGCCCAAGTTTTTCTTCCAATTTTATTGCAGAGTAGTATCTATGTTCTAACCCTTGTATCTCTCTGGTCTGAAATGTACCCTTAGTACATACTCCCTTCGTCCCAAAAAAGGCCTCCTAATTCAATTTGGCACAGAGTTTAAGTAAAATTGCATTGTTAAAAGTGATGTAGAAGAGAAAGATGGCGAGACAAAATTTTCCCAAAATAGGAAAAGTAATTTAAAAGGAAATGAGGAGTTTTTTGGGGAAATGATATTTGCACTCCACTTTTTGCTATTGACACTCCAAAATGCATTATTAATGTGAGAGGTGAGTAGTGTGTTTCGGAACTCCAATAGCAAAAAATGGAGTGCAAATGTCATTTCCTCTTTTTTTGGAACAGACTTTCCATCATCTCCGATGGAGCCAAAATTTCACCATTTTTTGGCTTTGGGGTGTGATGGAATAAATCAAAATGGATCTCTAAACTGTTTGCGCTTCTTTAATTAATGAAGTAGCAGTTAGTCAAGCAATGCAACTTTCGACGTTGAGCCGGGGGTCTCTTTGGAAACAGCCTCTCTACTTTCGAGTAGGGGTAAGGTCTGTGTACACACACCCTCCCCAGACCCTACTTTTGTGGGATTTAACTGGGTTGTTGTTGTTGTTGTTTGTTTGGGACAGAGGGAGTATGTTTTTTTGGTTCATGTAGGAACATAAATTTCTTGGACATTTTGAGTAGAAATCTTTTGAGCATTTATTTATCATGAATTTATCTTTTGAAAATGTAATTTTAGGCAAGCTGAGATGTTGGAAAAGAAAAGGCAGAAAAAACTGAGACAGAAAGAACAAAAAGCAAAGGAGCAGCAGAAATATGAGGAAAAAGTGGAAGTTAGTGTGACTACTGCTGATTCTTTAGACAACTATTCACTGGAGCTAGAAGAAACTTCAAATCCTCCGGCACCATCCCCTTCCAATTTGAGTAACACCGTTGATACATCAGCCGATGAATCATCCACTGTAGAAACGATTCACTTCTCAAATGTAGATACAGACATTGAAGCACAAGATTTCTATAACGAACATTTTGATTGTAATGTAGATACAGTACAGTGTGTTGAACCCCTTCCCTTGCTGGCAAACACTCGAAAGCAATTTTCCCACAGCCATTGGTGGCAGGTACAGAAATCTCAGAGGGTTGGACGGAATGGATTCTTTAGCAATCGGGATAATCATCAAACTTTGAAGCTTGAATCTGTACATAATAAATACGGAACCCCAAAAGATCGGGGGGCCACCGTACATAACGGTAAGATATGGACCAAGAAAGTCAGAGTGGAAAATGATATAAACACAAGTGAAGGAGGTGAATGTGAAGTGATAATTGGGTCCATTTCAGTTCCTGTGAAAAAGGGCATCACAAGTCACCTGGAGAATAACATAGTGTCAAAGAAACATTGGAGGCCTGTGAGCAGGCATGGAGGAAAAGGCAGACAAGATAAAGAAGAAGATGAGATTCCAGCCAAAGTTGATGACGAAACTATTATGCCCAGTAGAAACTGTGTGCAATCCTTTGGCACTGGCAATTTCTGCAAGAAAAATTCTGGTAAGGTTTTGGAAGATAATACACACGCAGAAGGTCAGCAGTTCTCCAGTAGCGCCGTGAAAGCATTCCTTGCACAAAGTACGTTCTCATTTTCTCGTGATTATCAAGTTGTTTTGTCCCATTACTTGATCTTGTCTGCTTTGGGGCCTGTTGGGCTTCTGGTAAAAATTTCTGCTTATCAACCATATTTTTAACCAAACACCAACTGATTTCACTGTGGTGACTAAATTAAGATCAACACCTTAATCTCAACTAGTTGGAGTCAGTGGCATTAAGTGTATTATGCCAATCAATTGTATAATATCAATACACACTAAATCCATGCCAAAAAAAACAGGGCAATGTTTTTTGCCCTCCGTGTTGTGACATTCACGAGTCACTTCATCTTTTGTCCTACCAAAACAGACTCCTGATGTGTTTTTGTTAATGGCGTGTTTTATTTGCTGATTATTTAAAACTAAGCAGGATGGAAGGAGGCCATTGCAGCAGATCATGTGACATTAGTCCTCTCCCATGCCCCTGAACTCACCCCAGAGCCCCCCAATGCTCAATTTAACAGTCCGAAAAATGGAGCCGTAGGTCTTAATGGGAAGTCTGCAGCGAAATCGGAAAAGGGCATTCAAATGAAGTACGTTCTGAAACAGAAAAACTGATATTTAGACAGCAGCAAAGAATTTTTGTTATGTTAGCTATAGTTGCTTTGAAGTCAAATTACAAGTCCCTCTTTTTTTTTTTTTTTTAATATAGTGGTCTTCTGATAGGAACTGGCAATATTACGTGTTCTTTGTTGCAATAGCCTATTTTAAAGAGGAATAGCTTTGTAGTTCTGCTTTTCCTTTTGCAATTTTCCATTTAATAAATTGTTTTTTTTTTGGTTAAAAAGTTGCCCATTGTTTCTTCGATTTCGTCCTTGGGCTTTTTGTCGATAAACCGACGATCTCTTAAAGAACCCACGGGTTCGACCTGATTTTGCTTGGCCTTTGGTTGGTCCAGTACCGGTTCTGAAATGCACATGGAGTTGAGTTTTTTTTTTTAGTTAATGAAAGAGTTTTTTCTAAGATTTGACCTGATATGAATTTATCAAAGTGTGATCTTTCTAGTCTGATCCTGATTCCTATTAAAGTTAAAATTGTTTCTCACTTGTTCTGATTTGAATCCGAATTTTTTCTATTTGATTTCAATTAGGGTTCGTTTGGTACATGAAATTAACAAAATTGAGAATTAAGTTAAAAATTGAAATTCTATAGATTTGGATGAAATTAAATTTTTCAATTCCAATTTATTTTTGGCACTACTAATTCCAAATCTACATATTTTTGTGCTTCCAAATAGCTGAATTAGAATTGTTGACCTAAATTCTCATTTTATATTTTGAATTTCGTGAACCAAACAGAGCCTCAAAATTAAAATTACTTTTATCTAAATCTTTTTATCTAATTTGATCCCAAGAATAAATAATGGGAAATGCTTGGTTCACAAACAAAATGGTCACAAATCTCACAAATTTATTATTTGTGAACTTCAATAAAAAAAAGTAAAGTAGTTTAAAATAATTTTAAAATCAGAATTTAAACCATAATTGGTAAGTTTGTGAGCTTTGTGATCATTTTGTTTGTGAACCTAGCATTGCTCATAAATAATCTCCTTAAGAACCAAATGAATAGAACAAGTTCTAAATCACTTCTCGAAGCCCACTCTCATGAGTTAATAGTCTTAATACCACTATAATATGCACAATTCTACTCTGCCTCACATATTCTTTTTCCTCCTCACACCCATGTCTTTGGGTAATTGTGGGAAGAAAATAAAAGGGTTAGAGGCATTGCCCTTTTGTGATACATTGGACTTGCAAACATGAGGTTCTGAAACATCAAAGTGAACAATTCACCTATAAGAGCATTTACAACACTTATTTTCATATCTTACAACAAGATTGTGGAGAAGGGGAAGGGGGAGTCACCCTCTGATAAGAGCCAAGCCAATAGCTGTGACAATTAGAGTAGAGGGAAGGCCAAATTGGAGATGGCTCCAGAATGACAAATTGTACCCCAAATATTGGGCCCTACGAGCCTGCTCGCACACGATCAAGTTTGCCGCGGACCCCAAGAGTGACAAGTTCCCGGCCACCGTGCTCACCCAAGCCAAGATTAGCCACGCTTTCTTCTCACTAGCCGGAGATATTTCAGCAGCCGAAGCCGCCACCCTCCCTCCCAACAGCAAAACTGTCACACAACCATAAGCAACATAAATTGCCTGATGATATTACTCGTACACTCCCTTCGTTCAGATTTAGTTGTCCACTTTTTTGTTTTTATTTGTCCAGAAATAATTGTCCACTTTTCACATAGTACAATAAAGAAATTACGATGAATCACCACGCTTCAAAGGACATTGGATTTCAATGTTATATGATGACATTGTCGTTCTAGGGTGTTGCATTCGACCTCGAAGTGGTTACTACCCCCTGTAAATCCCACCCCCAACCCGCTCTCTAGCCCCCAATTGCACCCCCACTTTTGGTTCACATTCAAAATTTTGACCAAAATCTCAACAAAATTTGGGAAGTACATTTGGGATAGCTGGGGTAGGGGTTTATAGGGGGTAGGAACTGTTTTAGGGCTCCAAACGAGCACTGTAAGACCCCCAAATGGACCAATGTCATAGGACAGCATTGGTGCCCAATGTCGACAGAACTGGCCCATGAATGAAGTGTCTAAACAATTCTAGAGATAGGGTATGTGCATTGTTGGCATGAATGAATGACAAACGTATTTGAAGCACAAGTTATTTGGCATTTTTTACTCATTTCTTAAAAAGGATAAAAGCATTTTTTTGGAAAGTTGAAAATTAATTTGGAGTACGTAGTTTACACAAGTAGATATTCTATGGAAGTGAGCATGACACACATACCTGTGGGTACATTTGAAGCCAAATTGGAGAGAGTGAGTATGACAACGCTGAGAAGGGCTATTCCACTAATGTGGTCTATTTTGGCATATGGCTCCATAAAATCCCACACCACACTTGGAAGCCCCGTCTTGTTGAAGCCGTCGATTGTGATGAACATCCCACAAAAGAATACCAAAAGCGAATATGATATCTGTCAAACGCAACGAAAAAAACATCATAAATGGCTAAATTGATTGCGGAAACAAGAGATTGATGAGAAAACTGGCGGGTATATATAAACCTTTTCCAAGCACGGTCGAGCATCCTTGAAGTCAAGAACCATTAGAACAAGTGCTGCTGTTATGGCGGACCAAGACATGTTCAAACCGACTAGCAAAGAGATTAGCATTCCGATGGTAACGAGATAGACACACACTTTCCACATCATCCTTCTCCTTACTTTCATCGGGTTTTCTACTTTCTCTTCGTTTGCATCAATGGAAGAGGAGGGCACTTTTGTTGCCTCCCGCGAAGCATTCGAGCTTTGGGGAGAAGCAATCCCCTCAATCTCACCCTCACTCACACTGCACCGGTTCCTAAGAGTCTCGGAACGGTTCGTGTGGTCGTTGAGATTTGGATGTGACATAGTCGCGGGGGAGAAACGGTGAGATACCACTTCTTCTTCTGTCACCACTTCACTTGTAAAGTTGTCTTCTTCTTCGTCTTTGTCTTTCTGAACCGACGACAATAGCTTCCAATACATGCACAAAAGTAGAAAGGCATTGACCAAAATGCCCACGAGCATTGCGGGGAAGATCCCAAGGAAAAACTTGCCAAAGGGTATATTGCTCTTCATCGCTATGACCAAATTCTGGGGATTCCCAATCGGAGACGCGGAAGACCCAATGTTTGCACTTGAAACAAGAGCTAGTAGGAAGGGGCGGGGCGGGAGGTTTTGTTGCCTGGCGATTTTCAGCACAAACTCTGTCAAAACGACACAAGCCGTGTCGTTGGTAAATAGAGCACTGGAAAGGGCAGATATGAAGCAGATTCTGCAGAGCAAATCCTTGGGTCCTCTGCTTTTCCATGCCAATAGTTTCCCAAGATACTTAAACATATCTGCCTTTTCAAGATACACACTGACAACCATTGTCCCAAAGAGAAGACCCAAAATGGGAAGATCAATGGCAGCGTATGCTTGATTCGGAGTCAAGACTTGAAAAAGAACCATAAGCATAGCCCCGAGTAGAGACCCAGCGGTCCTTCCGATGGGCAGAAATGGGACTGCGGGGAAAACCGCTAACACCCAAAAGAGGGCAAACGCGATTGAGCCAAGAACCACTTTGACAGTTGGAGCCATCACCATTTCTCCTAGCAGCTCATCAACACTACCAATTACTTTCCAACTACATTTGTTGCCCCGGACAAGAAAATAGAGGCCAAAATCTCAGAAACTGCGAAAAAAGATTGAACCTTTTACTTGATAGAAAAAAAACAATCAAGAACTTCTGAACTAACTAGTGTCTAGGGAGGGTTTCATCAAATGAACAACACAATAGCACTCTTTGAATTTCTTGCCCTTATTGTGGACTCGTTCTCCACGACGTAATCCTTCCACACCTAAGACTCAAGACACCAAATTCCGGACTCCAAAACAATTAAGCTTAGTTTACAACTCCATTCGTCCAAATTTTGTTGTTCACTTTCTTAATAATCTCGTATTTACGAAATGAGTGTAAATGTAAAGTAAGCTCTTCAAATTGAATTTGCCACTCATTCATCAACATTTATTCGTACCACATCATAATTTCTTCATTGAATACGAAAATTGAGCGATTAAAAACTGGGCAGTAACTTTCAAGAAGATTTGTCATGTGATGATGTTAAGCATATAAGTTGCAAAGCAACCCAAATTCATATGGAGTAATAATTTGTCAACCCAAGTCTTAATAAATTGGTCCATGACAAAATACACCTGTTTTCCTCCTGGAAACAGACACCGCAAAGATTACAGAAAGTTTCATACCAAATTCAGTTTATGTTTGTTTGAGATCCAATCTTAAAACAAAATATACACACCTGATGTGTAGTACTTCCTAGGTTCACTCACTCTCAGAAAAATAAATAAATAAAATTTAAAAAGATGAAAAATAGAAATATATGATATTGCGTAAATAGAACAAAAAGGTGGGGAAAAAAGGGATCAAGAGAATATGGATTCACCTGATCCATATATAGAAGAAGCTTCCTCTTTGAGTTTGAAGGCCAGATTGGAATGTTCAACAATTTGTTGAAGTTTTGCGTTTGGGCTTTTACAGTTTGTTTGTTTGTGAGGGATTCTCGTCAGATTTTATTTTGATTACTCCTTCAAATATAGCTTTTCAAGTAGGTGGTAAAAAAAACTGAGTCAAATCCAAATACGAAGATATTTGAATTTGTATTTATTAGTTTTTTATAAATAAAATTCGAATATGAAACAAATCATCAATCAACCTATTCTTAAAAGTAGGGGAATTATGCCCCATGCTTTTTCCCGCCCATTTGCCAAGCCTTATGAGCCATTGATATTTGTCAAACTATGCATCTACGGCCCATATTTACTGCAGATGAAAAGGAGAAAAAAGGAAATAAGTATTAAATTAGTACCGCAAAAAAGGCTTTAAAAGGAATCACATTTAAATACGCAATCGTGCTATGGATACACCACTTTGTACCCCAGTGGTGTACCCCATATACCCCCACCCCTTGCATACCACTCACTCCCACCCAACCATCCTCTTGTCTGGTCTCTCTCAATTCTCTCCTCTCTCGTCTGTCCTCACCCACCGTGTCTTTCCCCCTTTTTTCTTTCATTTATCGCGGAACAATAATCTGAATTTAGTAGCGACCATCAGCCATCGATCCATCTCTCCTGTGACGTCGTGTAAGCTTGATCGGAAAAGGATACATGAAGCGTAATAAATCAAGATGCGTTAATTGAAGAGCAATGACCCAAGGCGGATGCATTCCCAATTAATATTACAGATTCGAATTTTATCTACTGGAGAATGTATGAAGTCTGCCGTCATCGCCTATCGCAGATTAGGAATAATTTCTTATTGCACTAGCATTAAATGTTTGTGTTATTTTACAATTTAGCTATAAACATATATAAAGTGTTGGTTCATTGAAAAGACTTTAATTAATAGAATTTTTTATATCCCTAGATTTTTAAAGTATATGACCATTAAAGTGTTGGTTCATTGGCTGCCAATTATTTTAGAAACATTGTCCCGCATAAAAAAAATACATATGATTGTTATTTATTTGAAAACTATTGTTGGGAATTTATTTTCTGCTTTCAGTTTTGTTCTGCACCAGCAATTATGTATGTGCAATGAGGTAGGATGTAGGTTTCACCTACAAATAATGTCAGGTTGAGCATTTATTCTTTGCTTTTAGTTATGTTTGTTTTGCACCAGCAATTATGTCTGTGCAATGAGGTTGGATGTAGGTTTCACCTACAGATAATGTCAGGTTGAACATTTATTCTTTGCTTTCAATTGTGTTTTGCACTAGCAATTTATATCTGTGCAAAGAGGTAGGCTATAGGTTTCACCTACAAATAATGTAACTTTGGGCATTTATTCTCTGTTTTCAGTTTTGTTTTGCACCAGCAATTTATGTCTGTGCAAAGAGGTAGGATGTAGATTTCACATACAAATAGTGTCAGCTTCGGCATTTATTCTCTGCTTTTAGTTTTGTTTTGCACCAGCAGTTTTAGTCTGTGCAAAGAAGTAGGATGTAGGTTTCACCTACAGATAATGTCAGTATGATTAAAATTGTATTTTTTATATGCATGCATTTTAGAGGGCAATGACAACTTGGATGTTGGAAGTTCTCTCATGAAGATTCGAGATGATCGCAACACAACAAAAAAAAAGTGAACAACGTAAGGTGAACCAGAGCAATCAGGGAAACCCCAAAAAGCCATCGACAATCCTTCGTACAAACGTTGGTGACATAGGAAGTGAAAAATGCCTACGAGGGAATGGCCGGGAAAGATGGTTTGTATGACCTCACTTACCCAAATCTTGATCTCAGGCTATGGTTGTGTATACGGTCTACTGGTCTTGTCATATAACTTGACCATTAACTGGAGCAATGCTACATTTCTTGTTTAGTTTTTTATTATGCATTTGCTCACACACTTTTTGGTAAGTAATACTATGTAATATTTTGTCTTCACCACTCATAAATGATGTAAATATACTTATTTCATGGGCAAGTAGAACACTATGTAAATAGTATTTCCTTGTGTAACAGTTGTACACTTAGACTTAATAGTTGTTTCTCTTGAATACACCAACACTTAATATCTGTGGGCTACTGATTTTTTTCAATACACCAACACTTAATAGCCGTGTGTTATTGATTCTGTTCAAAACTCCAACACTTAATGTCTCTGTGTTATTTTTTCTGTTCAATACATCAAGACTTAATGACAGTGTGGTACTGGTTCTGTTCAATAAACCAACACTTCATATCTGTGTGTTACTGATTCTGTTCAATACACCAACACTTATTGTCCGTGTGTTATTGTTTTTGTTGAATGCACCAAGACTTAATATAAGTGTGCTACTGGTTATGTTCAATAAACCAACACTTAATATATGTGTCCTACTTATTCTAGTGAATACACCAACACTTCATGTCTGTGTGTTACTGATTCTGTTCAATACAACAACACTTAATGTCCGTGTGTTATTGTTTCTGTTATACACCAAGACTTAATGTCAATGTGGTATTGGTTATGTTCAAACATTTGACACGTAATAAAATTACACTTAAGCTTTAGAGGGTAGTAAACAATTTAAATTAAATGTGGAATGACCAAATTTTTTGGGGAGAATCTGAAGCACTATTATATCCAAACATCAAGAAATGAAGTGACATGTTTTATGTTCATGTCCAAAGCAGTCATAGTTTTGTGTTAATCAAATGATATATGTTTTACATGCTCGAGTACACATTCATAGAGTGAATAATCATTACAAGGCTAAAAAATGCCTTGCATATATTAGCATGGAGGGATAATCTGTCATAGTTGTGCGTTAATTAAAGAACATATATTGCACAAGCTTTAGGCCACTGTCATTCGAAAGATACGTGCCGCATATTGCCTACGGAAGTCGTCGACATAATCGTAGGTGCAGTCAGGAAGTAGCGGCGAACCACATACGTGCTGCATATTGCCTATGCAAGGATCATAACACCACATGCACGCAAACCTACATTCCAATTCAAATACAAGACAATGTAATACCAAAATATTAAATCTCATAAATAGACTTATTATGTGCAGGTTGTACAAACGAAAATGTTTGTGAGTGAGCAAATAATAACGTAAGCGTAACATAGTCAAATGGGCAGAAAATGTAAGTGTGAAGTTGTTGTACAACATTGCCCAGACATTTAGTTAAATGAGTATACTTGAAATTTTTTTACAAATGATTTAGGCCATCACTGCAATTTTGGGTACTCATTGAAGGAGATGAATGTACACAGCAAGACTAAACTGAGAAAGCAAAAATCAAAGTTCACAAAATATATTAACATAGGCTGTATGTGTTAGTGTGCAAAGTAAAATTACTATTGCCCGGGCATTTGTGAAAATCACACCAAACTTAAGGGAAAATTACCACAGCTTTGCAATTAGGGTTTCATGAACATGTATTTGGGAATTTAAGATTCACTAATCTAAAAAATTGTTGCAAAAATAGGTGCAATTGGAAAAGGAGGAGCAATTACCTTAGAGGCGGACCACCGGCGGCAGATATGAGGGATGTGAAGACGGCAGAGAGGAGGGCTGTGAAGATGGTGCACCAATGAAATGTTTCAGAGATGACAACGGCGAGGACTCAGAGAAGTATGTGGCGTCAATCGACGGCGACACAAAAGGCGAGGAAGACATTCAAACCGGCAAGAAAAAGGTAACGGAGGAGAGAGAGTAAGATTGTGAAGCAGAGTGAATTAGGTGGGGGGGGGTTACTTGCATGTGTGGGGTGGGGGAGGTCTTTTATATTGGGGTACAAATTGGGGTAAGTTTGGGGTGTAAGTAGCATTATCCTTAAATACGACATTAACATAATTACATAATTTTATATCTAAATTACTAATTAATAATAATTGTAACGGAAAAAATTAATTTATTCCCACGGAAGTTACTACCGGAGTAATAATTTATATTTAACGTGTTAGATGCCTTGGTAAAAATAATTAATAACTTGTAACGAAAGAAATGAAAATAATTAATAATTTGTAACGAAATAAATGAAAATAGTTAATAATTTGTAACGAAAAAAAGTATTAATTATTTGGAATCATATTTATACAATATTGTAAGATAATTCATACGTATTAAATATATATCGCATAAAAAGGCTTTAAAAGGAAACACATGTATACAATATTATAATTAGATAGTTTCATTTTTTGGAATGCATAAGTACCATATTCTTAAAAAGGGAAACAAAAGAAAGGTATTTAAGGAATTAAGTGATTACAAAAAAGGAAATCCTGTGCATATATTAAATAAATACACAGTATAAAATTTGTATATTTATTATTGATTTGAAGGAAAAAAGGAAAGCTACCAATTATACTTATTTTTCAATAATTCGTATATATATTTATTATAAATTACTAATTAATAATAATTGCAATGGAAAAAATTAATTTATTCCCACGGAAATGATTGGTTAGATTAAAAAAAGAATCCGAGTATATTTGATAAATAAACAATATAAAACGGAAATTATTAATAATTTAGATTTAACGTGTTAGATGCCTTGGCAAAAAATATGAGTAATTAATAATTTGTAACGAAAAAAATGAAAATAATTAATAATTTGTAACGAAAAAAAGTACTTCCTCCGCCCCCCTGTATTTGTCCACATTTGACTTTTGGAACTGTTCATCTAAGCACTTTGACTCATCAAATTCTCTCAATGTGTAAGCCTAAATATAGTCATGTGTGATCTTGTTTGATTTGTCTTAACATATAGATTATTAATATATAATTTTTATAATTTTTTAATATATAAATTACAAGATAAAATGGATTAAAGAAGTGCATTGGATGGTGTGTAAAAATGAAAGTGGACAAATACAGGGGGACGGAGGGAGTATTAATTATTCGGAAACACATTTATACAATATTGTAAGAATGCATAAGTACCGTATTCTTAAAAAGGGAAACAAAAGAAAAGTATTTAATGAATTAAGTGATTACAAAAAAGCAAATCCCGTGCATATATTAAATAAATACAAAGTATAAAATTCGTATATTTATTATTGATTTGAAGGAAAAAAAAGAAAGCTACCAATTATACTTATTTTGCAATAATTCGAATGTTTATTTCGTTTCCTTTTACGAAAAT